CTCATAGCTCTGGTCCTCCATCCCTTTGATGAGTTTGGTCGCCCTTCGCTGGACTTTCTCCAGTTCAAGGACATCCCCTCTGTGTACCGGTGCCCAAAACTGCACCGCATACTCCAGGTGAGGCCGAACCAGTGATGTGTAGAGTGGCAATATTATAGACTTATCCCTGCAAGACATTCCCTTCTTGATGCAGGACAGAACTCTACTAGCTTTGCTTACCGCAACCTGGCATTGTAATCTATTATTGAGTTTATGGTCTACAGTGACCCCCAAATCTTTCTCCATTTCAGACTTCCCTAGCGGCATACCCATTATTGTGTAACCAATTTGCGTGTTTTTTGTCCCGAAGTGCATAACTTTGCATTTATCAACATTAAACTGCATCTGCCATAAAGTTGCCCACTCCCCTATTTTATCCAGATCCTCTTGTAAAGTTATACTATCTTGGTTTGTTTCTATTACCCTCCCAATTTTGGTATCATCAGCAAACACTGAGATATCGCTGTTTACTCCGTCCCCGATGTCGTTGATAAACAGGTTGAAAAGCATCGGTCCCAGCACAGAACCCTGAGGCACACCGCTAATAACACTAGCCCAATATGAAAGGGCGCCATTTATTGATACTCTCTGTACCCGTTCCTTTAGCCAGTTCTCTATCCATGTACACACCCTTCCATCTATGCCCATAGCTCTTAGCTTGTGAATAGCAGTATATATGTATATATATACACATAAACTACATAAAAATTAAATATATATGTTAACATAAAATAAATAAGATATAAGGGGGAGTAATAAATACTGTATATACAATACCAAAATGAGAACTTGCAAGAGAGGGGAAAAATGTTATAATATCTTGAATTATTATTACAAGAATTTAAATCAAACTCAAAATTGAGTCCATGTAGCGTTTTCGCATTAAAAATCCACTTTCCCTCTTGTTTAGAGAACGCTCTTATTTCGTTTGGTCATCTCCTATGTCCAAATCCTTTTTTCATCCCGCAGAATTCTAATCCTTTTGGATTCTTCTGATGTTTTACGGCAAAATGTTTGGACACATAGGGGTATTTGTATCTTTTTTTGATGTTTTAGATATGCTTCCTGATCCTGACATGTAGGGATGTTCAGATACCAGTGCCGATACTTGGCATTTTCATGAGAACTACCAGGGTGGCAGCGGTTGCAGCTGGGACCTGGCTCTGGCGTCCACCACTGTCCTGAAATCATTAGTCTGTATTGTTTTAGAAAAACTGTCACATGACAATAAACAAAAACGTATCAGTACTTGTATCTAGGAGTTCTTGGACAAGTATCAGTACTTGTAGTTGAAAAACTAGTATCATTGCATCCCTTTATATATTTATAAAAACAAAATCATACATTAAAACAGAGATGTACAAATCCCAGGAGCTACGTGTGCTCCTTACACATGACAGCCGCCTCCTAACTTTTGATTTTTTCTCTAGTCTAGTCCTGGAGCTGGAAAAGTATCTGTACATGTACTTGTACTTGTACAGAGTACGGTACTTGGTATCTGAACATCCCTACTGACATGCAATTCTCTAGAAGTTCTGCCTATGTTTTGTAGCCCACTCCAACTTTAAGATTAACCGACACAAATCAGAATGTTGCCCATTACTATACCAGCCCACCCCCTCTAAGCAATAGCAGCAGAGCTTTCTGTTCTTCTGGCCCTCTAATGCTATCCGATATTTAGGTATCCAGTTAACAGACCATTGTAATCGCTTAAATATTTACAAATTTTAACCTTTGTTCCATAGAGTCCAAAATGATCTGGCTAGCTGGGACTGAGCATCCTTTAGTTGGCTTGGCAGAATTAATATTCTGAAAATTACTGTTTTGCCCCGTGTCCTTTTCTCCTTACAAACGATCCCTATCTCACTTCCTAAATATTTTTTTAACAGGATCCATAGTCTGTTCTTAAGTTTTCTTTCGAGTAATATGTTAAATGGCCACGGATTGCATACAAAATATTGAGGTGGACAAAAAATGCGGGGGGCTTGGTGCTTCCTGATGTCCATCTGTACTATAAAGCTATTTCGCTTCAGTGGATCATGAATTGGCATTTCCCCGTCTCCTCAAAACTATGGGTTTCCATGGAAAAATTGATGGCAGGTAGAAAACTCGCTCATGCCCCTTGGTGGTCCCAGGAATTCTATGGCCTGTCTGATACCACACCCCCCCTTTGACTCACCAAACTCTCAAGCTGTGGGACATATTAAATAATATAGGAGCTTTTGCCCCTTCACCATCTCCGCTGTCTCCCTGGGGGGGGGGGTTTCTAAGGTTTCTCCCCAGGGGAAAATACCTTTCTTTAAACAATGGGAATTAAGTGGTGATTACAGATGTAGTAAATTCCTTAGGCAGAATAAGTTGATACCCCTTGATGAGATCAGAGAAAGATATGGGCGCTTTCCTAAAGAGGAGTAGTGGTTTAGGCAATTGCAACACTTGTTTGGCACCACAGTCCTGTAATTTCAGACCCACGTCCTCCCTCACCCCTTTTGAATGTCTATGTGCAGCTTCCAACTCTCCTGGTAGACTCGTATCCCTCTTTTATGAAGTGCTATTATCAAAGATATCAAAGGATTGCTTAAGATTCATTCGGGAATGGGAGAGAGACTTGGGGTGCCACTTTACAGACGACCATCTAACCCATATCTTTCGCTTTACTCATAAATCTTCTGTTGCTCTTCAAGATGCAGGAAACTTGTTACAAACTTCTAACCTGCTGGTATTGGACCCCCCCTCATGCCTTAGGACTATTTAAGTTGTGTTGGGGAGGGTGCGGTCAAACTGGAACTTTACTACATATCTGGTGGGCTTGGCCTTCAATTCAGCATTTCTGCAATATGTATGGACACAGATGAAAGCACATAATGGATATTGATACACCAAATGACCCCACTAACGTTTTACACAGGCGCACCTAGCATGATACTAGATTGTTTGTATTGATCTTTAAAAAAAAACTTTATTAATGTCTCACAAAATGTCATAATAGTACAGCAATTTTAAAAATAAAAAGAAACGGTGCAGAAAATATACAGAAAAAGAGACAAAATATATATACAACAATAAAAATAAAAGGGAATAAAAGGGGACTACTTAACAGTCCTGGTTTTAGGACTTCTGAGTTCAGAGTTTAATAAGCAAAAGAGAAGTCTGAAGGGCTCTTCGTCAAGCAAGCTTTCAGCAGATGATGTTCAGAGATTTAAGGGGATCTTCTTTTCTGCGATGTTAAGACTTCTTGATGTTGCTGGAGTTCCTTCCTTGATGTTTCAAAGCAAGAGCCACCTATAGCTACATTAAGCATCTTTTTGTCAGCCCCTCTAGGGGGTGTCACAGAGCCGGCCCCTAGGTCAGGGCTGGGGATGGAAAGCAGGAGTTTACACTATCACTGTCCAATTCCAAATTATGAAATGGAGCTGATAGTGTACTCAGGTTTATGACTTTCGGGTGAATGCGGGGTCACCTGGGTCATTACCTCTACCAGAACCGCTTGTGTTTATCAACTTGTCCACTGGTCATAGATGAATGCCTAGTGGTGACATGCCTTTAATTAGGCACAGCTATAAAAGGTTTTAAAAGGTTGTTTTTGCTCTCTCACTGGGGCAATAAAGATCACAGGCCAGATAAGCAGATCTCTGCTCTGTGGAATGTGGTGGGACCTGGCAAATGACTAAATGAAGGCCTGCATTTGCTCTGAACTGGCGGGACAAGAGAATGCTATTTTTTATATGCAGCATCCAACCCCATTATCGTCACAGCAGGAGCTGCAATCTCGGTGTATACCAAGATCTACTCCAAAATGGCAGAACGCGCCGGCGGCCAATATGGTCACCGCTCGTTCTGCGATTTCAGTGTGCGGTTTCGAATTCGGAGGATTGTTGCCTCCGAATCCTAAGCTACATCAAAATTTGTTCTTTTGACGAAAAGAATGAAAACATTTTTCGTTTTCATTTGTTTCGTCTGAAAACAATTTTTTTTGTTATGCACATGTCTAAGTATCGGCACCGATACCGATACTGGCATTGGTGCATCCCTACAATTTATTAAGGAATTTGGAGGCGGTCTTATTATACTCTTTGACCATACATGTAGATTTAGTGGTCAGGTGTCCACAAAGCTTTGGTCATATACAGCAGGGACGTGCGGTCAGGGGAGGCAGGTGGGCCGGAGCCTCACCTAGTATTATGGAGGGAAAAGCTGTCAGCTTGAAGTCTAAAGCTGACAGCTTTTTCTCTATTCAGATCGGCATCTAACAGGTTACACAGCAGGGAAATCCTCCCCGCTGTGTAACCTGCCATGGATGGAGCGCTGGGTGTTAATTACAGGCAGCGCTGCATTCGGCTTTTGACAGGTAATTAGGTTACACAGCAGCGGGCTTCCCCACTGCTTGTGTAACCTAACTATTGAAGCCAGTGCTATCACAGCCTCTACTCTGTGTTAGAGGCATGAGCTCTGTGGATGGCTTGGACCAATGGCAAAGCGCCATTGGTCCAAGCTGTCCAATCAAAAAAAGAAAGAAAAACCCCCCACTGAGGCCATCGATCTCGATGCCTCAGCAGGGATGAGCAAGTGAGGGACAGGGAGGCTCCTCCCTGTCTCCTCCCTTCCACTAGCGTGGGGACGGGTTGGGGGTGGAGCTTTGGTCGTGTGGCGGGGCTTTGGTTGACAGGGGGCGGGGCTTTGGGCCGGCGACGGGACGTGCTGGAGAATGCCTCACCTGGAACATGAGGTACACCACGTCACTGATATACAGTAGTGCATCAGCAAAATGTTTTGATGCGTGTTTTAAAAAAAGGCCCAGACAATGACCTCAGCTGTCAATTCTCAAAAATGTATCGTGACTATTTTATTGTGAAAAAAAAAATACTGTGGGTAAACACTGTAAACAGACCTTTCATGGCACATGACAATGACTGCACCTCAAAGTGTAATCAAGGTTTATATGAACTCCATAAGCTATACATTTAACACTTCCCGACTTGCAGATGGAGCGCTCCCATTGCATGCATTTTCATGTAGTTATAGAACTCATCGGGCATGGAGTGGAAGCCGGGTTTGGGATTTATGTCATCATAATAGTGGTGAGAGATCGCATTCCCTTCCGTGTCGTTAGAAAAGGGCCAAAATCCGTAGAGGTTGACTTTGTTGCAGAGTTCAATGGCAGCACTGACCAGCATGAGCCCTGAAGACAGACGCTTGGCCTTAACGCCCTTCTCTCTCCAGTAGCTGGAAAGGTTCCTGAGATACTCTGGATGGAAGAACGCAACTTTGTTTTCCAAATCAAAGTCTTCTACCGTGTACAAGGCCCGGAAGGAAAGCGCCGTTAGGCTCCTGTAGGAGAAACCTGGCAGTATGATCATTGCGGGTCCGTAACCTTTGACAAGTTTGATGAATGACTTCCGTCTTCCATACAGCCTTTCAAACCTTTAAGTATAGAGAGGCCAGTTACTAAGTGAAGAGAAATGCATTTACTTTATAAATGGGGGAAAAAAGGAAATCCCCCCTCAAAAAAAATGGACTGGCTTGATCATTCCGTCACTAAGAGCAATATTACCAGTCCTTCCATTGCCATGACAAAGGAACATTCTTTAATTGTCGTGGCAATGGGCCAAATGCTTTGTTACCATGGTAATGGGGTAATTCCTCCACCTACATAGCAGTCACATCGAACCCTACGTTGCCATGAAGAGAGCCCCATTCTTGAGTCACCATTGCAATGGGCATGATTACTTGGTCACCATGGCAACAGGCCTGATTGCTAAGCCGACTCAATACATCTGTCCTGTTGCTATGACAAGAGGCCAGATTTTTTACGATGACTATGACAATGTGGTGCATCCTTTGGTCATGATGGCAATGGGGCCCAACCATCTTTTACCATATGTGGATCCCTCCACCGCTATGTCAATTGGGTGGAATCTGTGCTGACCATGGTGAGAGAATGAATCCTTTAGTTTCCCTGGAAACTAGGCAGATTTCTCGGGGACAACGACAATGGGACATATCCCCTATGGAAATGGACACACCCCTTGGTCAAAATGAGTAAATTAATGAATCCCTCTGTTTCCACGGCAATGGGCAGATCACCAAGTCGCAGTGGCAATGGTCTGATCACCATGGAAACAGGATGGAATAGCAACAAGGGCTAAACTGTCTGTTGCCATGGCAATGGGGCTAAACCCTCTATCGCCATGCTCACTGGGACTAATCCATGACTATCGAGCCACGTCATCTCTAGATAAACCATTCCTACTTTTTGCCATGAACCACATAGTGTGCTGTTAGGCCTCTTTTGTTCATAAACCTATCATTGATGTCAGTGGAAGAAGGGCCCCCTATCCTTGGTGTCAATAGCAAAAAGGCCCCTTGTTATTAATGACCGTGGGAGAAGGGCCCCCTTGGGTTGATGACAGTAGCAGAAAGGCTCCTTATCATTGGTGTCAGTGAGGCAAGGGCCTCCTATCGTTCATGTCTGTGTGAGAAGGACACCTATCATTGGTGCCAGTGAAAGAAGGGTCCTTTGTTTAATGCCAGTAGTGGTAGATGGCAATGAATAAAGGACCTGTATCATTGGTATCAATAAGAAAAGGGCTCTCTATCATTTGCCATTTGCGTTTGTGAGGGAAGGGCACCCTGTCATTGGCATCAGCATGAAAAGGGTCCTTATGATTGGTCCCATGGGGAAAAAGGTCCACCTATGGCGGACATGAGTGGGAGAAGGTAATTTTATAATTTTATATAAGAGACCCTTTGATTTTTTTCAGTGGTTAAATGGTCTAGATGTTGAGGTCCTGAGACCATTTACAGGAATTAGCAGCCTCAGCCTGGTATTTGCCCCAGAACCTTAGAGGTCTCCATGCACCTGAATAGGTGGTTATTTCTCCTGTGCTCTTCTCCCAGTTTTCTATAGCCAACTTCTACTCTGCCTCCCCTTTACCTTCAAGTCCTCCCTTCCCTTTTGGCTGATGAGGCTGTATTACATAGCAGTATATTATGAACCTATAGACTTGTTAATAATGCACACTATAAAAGAGAAGCTGTCACCTTGTCCATGTAAGGCAAAGTGACGATTTCTCTGCAAAGCTCACCCCACCCCATTATAGTAACCTTACCAATGCCCCCTCAGCTTCAATAGCTGGCACTTCAAGGCATGGAGGAGCCTGTGACCTCCATCTCTCCAGGTCTAACAGCCGATCACTAAGCCTGGGGAGGGGTGGGGTGATCATTTTTTGTAGAGACACCATCACAGTGTCCCTTAAATAATTACATTTTCTTTCAAAACCCTTATGTCAAAGAAAATCCTCTCACTTTTGTATCAGAATGCTTGGGTTAGCAGTGACGAGATGGGACTTTGTACCAATGTCTTCTACCAGATTAAGAGGAGGCAGATTAAGCCTGTAACAGATTGGAGAGAAAAGGTGAAAACGTATGGAAATAACATGATGGTATTTTTTTTCCGGAACTGATAACATATTGTCAGGCAACGGGCAAAGTGCAGCAATGTATGGACATTCTATGTGACCACTCTACAGCCAGTCCATAAACTTCTCTAATAATAATTAAGTAGTATAGATAGCCAGGTGGCTTATTTTCTTTTATTTTTCCACTTCAGATAAAAGATAATGTCCTGCAATGATTAGGAGCTGTGGCTGATATTGGAACCTCACCTAAAGAGAACTGTTCACAAAGGCTTACGCCAGACAAAAAAAGAAAAGAAAAAGAAAAAAAAATTGGAACAAAACCATTATTATTTCTCTTTAAAGGGTATTTATGGCCCAAATCTTTGTTTTTTTGTTTTTTTTACTGATGTGTAGAGTGGGAAAGGCTTATTATCCCTGTTGGTATATTTATCATTGTGTTCCATTAGGGCTGTCCATGCACTTTTGTGAGACCATTAAAAATATTCAACCAAATAGTACAAAAATTATTATTAAAAAACTGGACATTCACATTTCTCTACAAGCCCATATTTTAAATATATTTTTCAAGGCTAAGACTTTGACAGTGGGTCTGTCTGCTGTGGATTGGTGGAGCCAGGTAGGATACCTTGAGTGAGCCAAACATATGATTGCCTGGGGTCACATATATGCTTAGCTGGACTATCACAACCTTGTCTATGAAGATCCAAAGAAAGAAGAGCATTGGGCACTCCGGGTGCTGCTTATCTCTGGGGAGTGTGGTGGAGCATTGGGCACTCTGGGTGCTGCTTATCTCTGGGCAGTGTGGTGGAGCATTGGGCACTCCAGTGCTGCTTATCTCTGGGCAGTGTTGTAGAGCATTGGGCACTACAATTCTGCATATCTCTGGGCAGTGTGGTAGAGAATTGAGCACTCCGGTTGCTGCTTATCTCTGGGAAGTGTGGTGGAGCATAGGGCACTCCTGGTGCTGCTTATCTCTGGGCAGTGTGGTGGAGGATAGGGCACTCCAGGTTCTGCTTATCCCTGGGGACTGTGGTGGAGAATTTGGCACCCCAGGTGCTGCTTATCTTTGGGCAGTATGATGGAGCATTGGGCACTCTGGGTGCTGCTTATCTCTGGGGAGTGTGGTGGAGCATAGGGCACTCCAGGTTCTGCTTATCTCTGGGGAGTGTGGTGGAGAATTGGGCACCCCGGGTGCTGCTTATCTTTGGGCAGTGTGATGGAGCATTGGGCACTCTGGGTGCTGCTTATCTCTGGGCTGTGTGGTGGAGCATTGGGCACTCCGGTGCTGCTTATCTTTGGGCAGTGTTGTGGAGCTTTGGGCACTACGGTGCTGCTTATCATTGGGCAGTGTGGTGGACCATTGAGCAGTCCCGGTGCTGCCTCTCTCTGAAGAGTGTGCTGGAGAGAGTAAGGAACCAGCTTTTTTAAACATGCCCATTAAATCATCTTCACATGGGAGTAGACATATGCTGTTACCCTAGACAGGAGATTATGTCTCAAAAAATCCAGAATGGGTGACTGTAAATAGATATTTGACATTGGTTTGAATACATGAGGTAGTGCTGGACCTTGTAGAGTGGGTTTCCCTATGACTGCTCAACTTGAAAGAGATCCAGAGTCCATTAGTCAAAGAATGTACCCAGGCTGATGAGGCATGGCCTCATTTGAGGTATCCTACCTGGCTCCATCAATCCGCCACAGACAGACCCATGTTTCCAAGTCATAGCCCTGAAGAAGGAAGGCAATCCCAAAATGAGATGGCTATTTTCTGTATATGTGGTTCCAAATAAATTAGATTTTTAATGATTAGAAGCAGTTTGAGACTTTACTTTAATGACAATGCTCACCCTCTATGACAACCATACAGAAGCATGACCATTGTCGAAGTGGAGGCTCAATCTGATTGTATAAACCTGTTATCAAGGACGGCCTATATTGTATGCAGCCTATGAGGTAATCTCTAGAGGTACTATTAGGGGGTTCATAAAGCCCTGGCTTAAAACCTGCTGTGGTGCACTGAACATTCTAATGGTGCATTTTCTACTCTAGGTCTAGGACAGCCTGGTTCCTCACCTGAACACAAAATCCATGCTGTCAATTTCCTCCCCGCAGGAACTGTTCTGTAAAATGCCACCATTGCCGACCACAGCACAGGTGTTGAAGGGTTTCCTGAGGAAAGGAGTAATCTAAAAGCACATAGAAAAGAATAATACATCAGCAGGAATGCGCATGTTATCTTCTGGTGTTAAGAATTACAAACATATATAGTTTCCATTCTCCTGAAAGTGAAGCTCTAGGCCCTTTTATTGTGTTCTCCACTGTCTCCCAACACCTTTAAAGGACCAAAATGTTTTTGTTTATTGAGATCAGTAGCTCAAACTATAAGTAAACAATAAAGGTGATCAGCTCCAGTAAGTGTAATGTAAAAATAAGAGCTACCAAGCACTAAGGATATAACTAAATATCTGGAAAATGTGAAAAACAATATTGTGCCGAGCTAATAATCATACACATCGAATAAATTTAGGGCTGTTACTGATTAAAATTTTCGTGTTCGATTAATTGAATTTTTTTTTAATCGATTAATTTTGATTAATTATAACGCACATACAGATCCAACTACATTGGCCTATACACATACAGCACAGCAATGAAGTAATAAAATGAACTAGGATCACACTAATCCAGCACGTTATTATTCTGAGTTGCCCCACTCAAGCGGCGGCCATATTGAGTGGGGCACGTCAGATTAATAACGTGCTGGATTAGTGTGATCCTAGTTCATTTTATTACTTCATTGCTGTGCTGTATGTGTATAGGCCAATGCCGCGGCTGGCGCTCGTGCAGAAAGTTTCTTGGGCAAACTCACCGACCCAAGTGGCTCCGTCGGCTAACGAAGGGAAGGGGGGAGGAGTCCGGTGATTTATACTGGTACCTGTGATCTGAGGAGACCTTATCGCTTTTTCTGTGCATGGGCTTCTCTCCCCCATTAAGAAGGGAAAAAGCGCATTTGACCTAGCTATGTGGGCTCCCCAGGTGAGCACTCACTTGTCATCACTCATTGGGTGGAGGTGAAGGTGGGCCTGCATTGTGTGATTATCCTTACCTGAGAGTTACATGCAGATTGGCTGCAAATCATCTGAGGAATTTTCTTGCACAATCACCATTATTTGCTTTTGTTTTTTCCCGGGACTCTTTATTGTCTATATTGCTTTTTTTTTGTCTGTGTGTAGATATTTTCTATGCCTCATTTCTTTGAAGGCTCATATATGTGACTCATTTATATATGTTTCTATTTATTAGATGTGTATGATTATTAGCTCGGCACAATATTGTTTTTCACAGCTCAAACTATAGCTCATGTCAGAGCAGTGACCTTATCCAGTGGTTCTGCCCAAGGTTTCAATCAAACAGAGTAAATCGAAAAGAAAATAACTGCTGCTCTGCTGTCTGTGTGGATCGCCTATAGACAAACCCACGTTTCCAAGCCTTAGCCCTGGAAAAAGAATTTAATTCTGAAATTTGTTGGACATTTTCTGTATATATGGTTCCAAAAAAATCTAATCTTTAATGATCAAAAGCACTTTGAGAATTTCATCTATAAAAACCATACAAACTATGCAAATACATTTCTGCTCAACTGAGTCCAGAACAAGTTCCAAGTCCTGAACAATTCCCTTATTTCAGATGGGGTTCCTCTTTGGGGAGCAGCAGCAATCTAGCAGCTGGTTCCTATAATACTGGCCCTTAGGGCGGGTTCACACCATTTTCCGGGACCAGATCTGGCACTGCATGTGGCACTGCCGTGGTTTCTTAGTCGCTTTGGGTGCTGGTCATTGCCGGGGAGGGCTTTGCGAGCACTCCTTCCCTCCCAGCTGTCCCATTGGTTCGCAGGGACCTGTGGCTTTCTGGTAGCCCAGACAACGGGGGGCGTCACTGGCCCCTGCTGGGTTTAAATTCCAGCCAGAGCCAAGACTTGTTGCTGAGTTATTCTGCCGTACCCATAGCAGCTACAACGCCTCATTTCCTGTTTCCTGCCTCCCTTCCCTGCTATTCGGATCTCCTGGTTATCGACCCCTGGCTTGCCTCACCGTTTATGATACTCGCTGCCTGCCTCGACCCAGACTGTACTCTGACAACGCATTTTGGATTATCCTTTCTTGTACCTCAGGCTGGACTCTCCTTCTGGGATTGTTCCCTGCTATTGGGTTCCAATCCAGCAAACAGGGGAACTTCGCTCCTTCCCTAACAATTCCAGACCAGACAAAATGAGTCATGCAGTATTTTTCAGGTCTGGTCTGGAACGGACTGCGCTGGTGTGAACAGAGGCCACAAATAGCATAGGGATGCATTAAGATGGATTTTGGGTCCGGAAACAATCTGGTCTGGTCTGGAGATGATCTGGATGTGGTGTGAAGGGACCCTGAGTGCAGCAACCTTTAGCTTTTGCAGCTTCTTCTGGACCTCATATCCGACACACACTCTGAAACAGCCTAGTTCGGTCCAGCTGAGCCAAATCAACAGACCATTTACAGAGAAACCGAAGCATGGAATTCGGAAACCACCCCACCCTAAGGATTGCAAGCCAAATCAGCCTACCTAACACTTTTGTAAATGCCATGGGTAAAGACATACAGTGGGTCTGTTTAAAAGATAGACTTGCTGGATTCACCATAAAAAGGAATTTTTTTAAGATCAAGATCATAAAATTTCCCTTTAAAGTCGTCAGACGGTGCCCACACACCTTACGATAATCGCGGGAAATCCCGTGATCGCGCGATTATCGTAAGGTATGTGGAAGCCGTGCGACCTTACAGTAGTAAGTTGTTCGAAAAACCGCCGAGCATCGTACGATGTTCGGCGGGTGTGTAGCATGTTCGTAAGATAAAAGCCAGACGGGCCGGTGTGCGCAAGTGCACACTGCCCTTTCGGCATTGCGGTCATCGGAAGCCCGCCCCTCAGGGGGGGCGCGGCTTGCGATCATCGCGAGTACGATCTGCCTGTCCAAGATGGGCAGATCGTACGTTTTTTTAATTACCTTACAACCATGGCAAGACAAAAGTCTTGCCATGGTTGTAAGGTGTGTGCCCAGCCTAACTATTTTTTACTTTCCCGTTCACGGAGGAGGCCCACTATTCAGCACCCTTACCAACTATTTGGCTGTGACCACCCTCATGTTATCGGCAGAAGAAAATGTTCTGATCAAATCCAGTAATTTCACTATCGTCAGTTCGGCGATACACGATAAATGATTTACCTTTGGCAGCATCTGGAAGATATGCTCATTCACTCCAATTGTATGGCTGAGGTTTGTCTCATATGTTAGAATACGTCCGAGAGGAGCATTATCCTGGGTGGCCAGTAGCATGTGTTGTGCATTGCAGCACTTTCCTAATGCCAGTCTGTCAAAGAATCACAGTTTAGAACAGCTGCTGTTGTTGTTTAATCCATGGTACATTGTCCATGTAATAACAAGACGCATACTCCCCCCCCCCCCTCCATATTGTTCTTTAAAATTAGGGATGCACCGATACCAGTTCAGATACCAGTGCCGATACTTGGCATTTTCATGAGAACTCCCAGGGTTTCAGCGGTTGCAGCTGGGACCTGGCTCTGGCGCTCAACCACTGTCCTGAAATCATTAGTCTGTATTGTTTTAGAAAAACTGTCACATGACACTAAACAAAAATGTATCAGTACTTGTATCTGTGAGGACTTGGGCAAGTATCCGTACTCGTACTCGCACAAATGGTATCGGTGCATCCCTTTATATATGTTTATAAAAACAAAATCATACATTAAGACAGAGATGTACAAATCCCGGGAGCTCTGTGTGCTCCTTACAACTGACAGCGGCCTCCTAACTATTGAATGTTTCTCTAGTCTAGTCTTGGAGCCCGAAGAGTATCTGTGCTTGTACCGAGTACGGTACTTTGTATCAGTGCATCCCTATTTGAAACAACGGGAGCTTCTATACTGGTGCTCTTAAAATGTGACACTCCTCTCAAAACATGGATGCTTATAGTCAAACTCTAGCCATTTTATGAAGATGTTTATAGAGTCAAAAACTGGGTATAGGAAATTAGGAGATTTCGTTTTGCTACTTTGCACAAATGTTAAAGACAAAATTCAGATTTTGTTGGTGAGCTTTAGTTGGCTCCCCAGAGTTTCATTTAAACTATCTAGTACGTGTTCTTGCATGAAAACACAGCCCTTCATTACCTGGGAACAGGGCTGGATTTCCCACAAGGCCACAGAGGCCCGGCCTCGGGGCAGCAGGGAGTAGAGAGGCAGCAAGGGTGTGGAATTCCTATCGCCCGATGTCTGGGACATGCAGTTCTGGGTGCCGGGCAGGTAGTTTATTTCTACATTTAGCCCAGCTTTGGGCAGGCAGAGCTAAATGTAGAGCGGGGAAGCTGCCGCTTGTTTTGTACAAGTGATCTCAGCAATGCGGCCAAAATCACTTGTAAGCAGCCTGCAGTCCAGTCCATTCCCCCACTGCCCCCAAAGGCTACCTCTGACCCCGCTGGCTGTCACTCTCCTCGCTGGCCGCCTCCCTCCCCGCTGTGGTTTTCGGGGGCCCACGCTCTTCTGGGGGATCCGGGACAATTCGTTCAGGATGGGGAGCAGGAAGCAGAGCAGTTGCCATTGTCCATTGGGGGGGGGGGTTGGCGGGCAGGGGGGGGGGCGCATTGTGGAACCTGGCCTTGGGGCAGCAGAGAGAGTAAATCTGGCCCTGCCTGGGAATATGATGATATGAGATATTAGGGAACAAAGGAACCCAAATTCTATCGATAATGTTTACTCTAATACTAACCCTAATGCTATCTGAACGCCTTTATTTGTCAGCAAAGACCCGTGCTCACCATGTAAACATTAGCATGATGATCATACGCCATCACGTGCCAGAAATTGGGAAATCGTTCTGCTAATCTCTGGTTGAGAAGGTTTAGAACACTTAAAAGAAAAACATCTAAACCTCTAATATGTGACTGCCACTGATGACTAAGTGCAATCCTAAAGTACAACAACATATCTTAGTTTATGAGCAAATATGGACATTCTGAATATACACGTGGAGATGAATTATTATTAAAAGATGTCTACCAAAAACAGCCAACAAAGTATTCCTCAGACAGCTGAAAACCCGTGCATCATATTCAAACCTCTATGTCCCATAAAGCATGTACACTGATCAGCCATAACATTAGGACCAGCCACCTTATATTGACTAGGTCCCTGTTTGCAGCCAAAACATCTCTGTCCCATCAAAGCATGGACTCCACTAGACTTCTGAAGGTGTGCTGTGGTATCCCCAGGTAATCTGCTACAAACCATTAGCAGCAGATTATTTAAGTCCCTGTGGTGGGGCCTCCTTCACTTCCCACGTGCATCAGTGAGCCTTGTCCACCCATGGCCCTGTTGCTAGTTTACCGGTTTTGCTTCGTTGGACCACTTTTGGTCGGTCCTGACCCCTGCCGACCGGGAACATCCCACAAGAGCTGCAGTTTTGGAGTTTGCTTTGACCCAGTCGTCTACACATCACAATTTGGCTCTTGTCAAAGTTACTCAGATCCTCCCACTTGTACATTATTTCTGCTTCCAACACATCAACTTTAGGGGCAAAATGTTCACTTCCTGCCTAATATATCCCCTCGCTTCCAAGTGTCATTGTAATATACCCCCCCACTTCCAGGTGTCATTTTAATATATTCCCCCCCACTTCCAGGTGTCATTGTAATATATTCCCCCCCCACTTCCAGGTGTCATTGTAAAATATACCCCCCACTTCCAGGTGTCATTGTAATATATCCCCCCCACTTCCAGGTGTCATTGTAATATATCCCCCCCACTTCAAGGTGCCATTGTAATATATTCTCCCCACTTCCAGGTGCCATTGTAATATATCCCCCCCACTTCCAGGTGCCATTGTAATATATCCCCCCCCCACTTCCAGGTGCCATTGTAACCAGATCATCAATGTTATTC